AGACTCCAAAAGTCTACAGAAATATTTTCATTGATAAATAAAATACAATAAATAAATACAATAACGGTTGTATGCTGTGCATAATATTAAGCAAGCTTAATAAAAAACTTATAAAATTCAAATTAAGTGTTCCTTTCTTGGCTATGCTTTGCACACATAACAATGACACTAGCCAAACCAGTTAAGAAACAAAAATAATTCTCAGCAGCTGCACCTCTTACAAAAAAAAAGTCTGAAACTGAAAAGAGCACAGAATTATTCAATCACACAGTGTTCTGAAAGTGCATTGTCCTCTATTCTGCACTTTAGATGAATGACTGCTTAGGTGTCACTGGTGACGGCACTGTATCAGTACTTTTAAAAACGAGTATTGTATCCGGATACAACATTTCAGTATCGATACTTTTTTGAGTTTCGATACTTTTGACAACCCTAGATGCGACCTCCTCAAAACTTTAAAAACTAACTTTCAAATGTCGATAATCAATTTAATAGTGCAATATTATTAGAAATAACTAGCCTGGTTTCTGAAGTTAGATATTAGGTTATATATTTGACTGATAATAATTATTTGGAGTGACACAGGATCATGTAGGGCGACCATTACTGAGTGTGTTACATGATGAATACGATTTCCTGTAGTTGTATTTTTTTATACATTAAAGTTACTTAACATTGTTTAAGCTGAACTGTTTATTTAAACTATTTTTTATAAAAATTCTGTCATTTATCATTACTAATGAGAAATAAACATTTGTCTTTGATTATAGTAAAATAATTAAAATTTTAAAAGCTGCCTGGCCGAGGAGAAGGACGGAAGTTATCACTGGATAACAAAATGGATAATCTCTGACTTGAACTCTCCTCAAGAAAAAAATTTTGTAACTGCTGCGCCGTCATCCTGACTGAATCGATACTAGACAATGATATTAGATATGCTATACAGTGTGGAAAGACACAATGAACTAAGCGGTAAGACCCTGGGTGGTGGGCTCTGTGTTTACATCAACAAAAGCTGGTTTAAAAATGCTAAATCGATCGCTAGCTTCTGCTATCCAGACATCAAGTTTCTGACTTTTAACTGCAGACCAATCTATCTGCCCAGAGAGTTCATGTGGTTACCATCACTGCTGTTTACATGACCCCCAGTGCTAATACTAGAAGAGGCCATGAAGACTCTATACCATGCTATCTCTGAGCTTCAATCTGCACACAGTGTTTTTATCATTGCTGGGGATTTTAACCAGGCTAATTTGAAGACTGTGCTCCCTCATTTCTACCAACGTGGAATTTGCAATTCAGAGTGAAAACATTTTAGACCTAGGTTTACTTTAACATCAAAGATGCATTCAGAACAGCAACCCGCCCCCACCGCGGGTCATCAGATCATCTTTCGGTCATGCAAATTCCTGCATGCAGGCCCCAGCTAATTTCGGCTAAACCAATAGTTAAAGAGGTCAGAGTGTGGTCTGAGGGCACCATGGAGAAACTCCAGGATTGTTGTGAAAACTCTACATCATGACATAGACTCTGCATCACACTGACAACACCAAACCAAAATACTGCAGATTTGCACCACATATATTAATGCTCTGAACTTCCATATCAATGCGTTTTTTGCACCATGTTTTTTTTCTCTCTCACATTGTTTATATTTCATCACTGCTGCACTTTAAGAAATCGAAATGTCATGAGAGCTCTACAAAACGAAAATCCGTTTTGTACACACACTGTATATAAAATGACAAAAGGTGTCTAAATCTAAGTCTGAGTAATATATTACCAGGGAAAGAGAAAGGTAGAAACTCTGGGTAACATTTAGTCTTATTTGTATTTCAAATCATCATGTTTGTAGGGTTAGGGGTGACCTTTTCTTTTATAGTGTGAACTTAATGGCATCCAGGTCATGTGATCAATGGACTCAAAATCAATTTGGATCATAGTTCTACATTGGCTTTAAAAGCTATGCCTTTTATTTTTGCCTTTCAGGTCTCTTACTATTTTTTAAATAATATTTATGTGTAAAATTGGGATTTTTATTCAAAAGTTTCCAGGGTTTGTGATGGATTGACTAAAATTCTATGTGTTATCATGGTACTCTGTTGGTTTCATGGGATGCACCTTTTAGTTTTGAATAATACTGTGAATGATAGTAAGTGACAGTAATGTTCCTGTAATGTTAAGGTGATTTCTGTGTCACCAGTTGATCTGCTTCTGATCAGCAGTAATGTTCCCAACATGAGATCCAGCAGCTGCTGATGCTGCTTTGGGATCATTAGTGATTCGAACACATTCTTCCTCAGTGGACACAGAAATATATCAGTCAACTTGGATTTCTGACAGTATTTTGTAAACTGGTTCCTTTTATTGGAAACATTTTTAGACAGGCATCGGTGCAGCCACCTGTCTATAGCAAACATCAGCTGCAACAACCAGCTAATATATCACACTCACAGCTTTAGCTTAGCATGTTGATCTCCTCTAAGCAGTTTTCCAATCAGATGAGGCTAAAATCCACAGTGTGCATCATCAGGGAATCGTTTCTATCAGGTGTTTCCTACCTATCTGGTGTAAGATGATCTGGGGGATCCTGGTGAAATCCAGCAGTAGATGTTGATCGTCCATCTTTTCCTCCGAATTGACCAAACTCNAGATGTGATCTCTCTTTTTAATTTTCATCAGAACTCTGGCTGCAGCATTTTGGATCAGCTGAAGGCTTTTAACTACAGTTTGTGGACTTCCTGATAGTAAAGAATTACAATAGTCCAGCCTTGAATTAACAAATGCATGGACTAGTTTCTCAGCATCACCCCTGGACAGGAGATTTCTAATTTTTGCAATGTTCCTCAGATGAAAGAAGGAAATTCTAGAAACCTCTTTTCTAGAATTTAAGGAATTTAACATTATGTTGCCCAAGTCCAAAAAATCATTAATATAAAAAAGGAGAGAAACAGACCAAGCTGTTGTGAAGCATAGGTAATTTCCTGTACTTATTAAGCTATGTTAGGATTATTTTTATGTTTCATTTATGTGCCTAATAATACCTGCTTGTTAAGTGGAAAGAAGAAGAGTGTTTTTCCTTGTTGTTTAGCTAATTAGAGCAAGATTTGGGAATGTACCTTCCTTTCTGTGCAACCCATCTGGTCTGAGTAAGATTACAATATTGTTGAAGCTTTTTTATGTTTTCTAGTCATTTAATACATAAATCTTATAAAGTGATATTTAAATTGTTTGATCAGAGTGAACTCTTGTCAGGAAAGAATAAGGAGAGAAAACTTAAAGATGTAAACACATAGCTTTCAGCTAACAAACATTGTAGACAAATAACTATTTTTTTTTATGATTTATTTTATGATTTTAGCTGTTAACTGTTACTGATCCGTGTTTCAGTCAGTTGATCTTAATTAACTGGTAAAATAAAAGTTCAAAAACCACTGATCATGTGGATGATTTATGTATTAGATTCTAGAATGTGAGATCTGTTTCCCTTATTTCTCTTTCAACAGAGTGGGATCACCTCGATACAAAATGATCAGAGAGTAGGTTCTGCAGTGAAACTGTCAAAAATTAAAATGATAACTTAAGATTTTTCTTTTTATTATTGAATTTGGAACTTCATAAAATCTCCCTATTTAACACATTGCTTGTATGGAAACGCTCAGCCTGGAGGCTCTCTGGTGCTTTTTGGGTGGTTGAATACAGCAGAAAAACTAGAAATATTTCAAACCCATCATTTACTCAGCAATGTTTTTATCAAGCAAACACGGTAACCTTACTTTGAACATTGGTGTTGCAGACCCCATTAAGGGCTGGTTATACTCCTGCAGCAGTGTGTTACAGTGAGCTTGATGCAGACATTTTTGATTTTTGCTAAATTTTGAAGCGTGGTCTGCCCTGGGGGCAAGTTTGTCGGATAATGGAGGGACATGAGGGCGAAAAAAAAAGGCGGAAAAAGGGTCCCAGCGTTCTCACACACCTCGCTCTTCTAGCTGGTCAATTTTCAGGGTTGTTTTCTGCAATTTCGGTCATAAAAACAAAACAAGTCAGCTTCGTGTCTGCGGCCAGTTACAATTTGGGCGAGGTGCAGCAGAGTGTCTGTGGAGGGGGCGGGGACAGCTTTTTGTTTACTGCTACACCTGCACAGAGGACCTAGTTTCGACGTATAAATCAGCCTTAAGTCACAAGTTAATGAAGGTAGGATTGTTTCCCAGTTTGTTTCTTAACTCTTGTCACCAGGAGTCTAAACAGTAATTCACTTCAATTCGGTTTATTTATATAGCCCCAATTCACAACACATGTCATCTCAAGGCACTTTATAAATACACTTCAACCAGATTATACAGTCAGACTGGTTCAACGTTTTTTAAGGAAAGCAAGTATCCTCCTCTGGAGTGATATGGCTGAGTTACTTTGCTCTGTGATTGGGAACCCAGACAAGAGTTCCCAGGTGAGCAAATATTTCCCTTTTTTTAACCTGTCCAGAGTAGGATACTGCATTTCCATGCAAGGGACTGAAGGTGATCACCTCATCATCCAAACCTTGCAGACTTTCTTGCCTCCAGTGCAGTCTAGACTTATCAACAATTAAATTCTTCTGGTGCTGTGATCTTTTTATAACTGTACTTACTCCATTGTATGATTCAATTTCTACAGAAAAGAACAGCCCTGTTGCTCTGCTGATTGCTACATTTTTAGCAAACAAATTAGGAAGCTGCTCAAGATGGCTTTTCATTTAGGCCTGTCTTTTCTTTCTTGCCATAATGCTTTTTTTAATAGAACAGATAGAACATAGAAATTCTATTAGAAAACCATTTAAAATCTGCTCATCCCCTGACACATATAGCTGGGGTTTGTCTCTTCCAGGCAGAGGTGTACAGGAAGCTCTGCTGAGGCTAGGGTGTTTCATTACTCCCTTATTTGCCAGAAAGTTGCTGTGATGTTGGATGTAAATGCTTTACTTTCTTTGATAATTCTTTGTAGGGAAGCAAATTTAGACCAGAATTAACTTCATATCCTCAGTTTGTTTGACAGGCTCTCCTCAAACTCAAGACAGAGTTTGGTGCTTTTATGTGATGTGTCCTTTTTTTGACCACTGATAGAAAGTCTTTCTGTTGTGTTTGTCTTTCCAGACCACCTGCAGGATTATGTTGTAAAAGAAGAGGATGATTCTGACCAGCAGCTCTGTGGACAGGAGAAGAATTCCAGTTTAGACCAAGAGGAACCAGAACCTCTGCAGATAAAAGAAGAGCAGCAAGAACCACAACATCCCTGGACAAAAGAGGAAATCATTGAGCTCCCCATTAGTGAGCATGAAGAGCAGCTTGTTCTGAAGCAGGAGCCTGGAAATACAGATCATTTCACTGACCACATGAGAAATCACACAGGTGAGAAACCTTTTGAATTCGCTCAGCGTTGGCTTGCAGCTTGTCTGCCTGGCTGTGTGTTTCCCAGATGGGGCCGCCGTTTACAGTTGCTTTTTTCAATCTCTGCTTCTGTCACCTGAACCCCAGACGGCCTCAGCAGATGGCCGCTCACACTGAGCCTGGTTCTGCTGGAGGTTTCTTCCTGTTAGAAGGGTGTTTTTCCTCTCCACTGTCGCTACAAGCATGCTTAGTGTGAGGGATTGCATTTGAGTCAATGAGTCAATGCAATCAACTGGTTTTCCTTAGGTAGAAAACTTTGAACTATAAAGTGCCTTGAGGTGATATGTGTTGTGAATTGGCACTATAGAAATAAACTGAATTGAACTGAATATCTTTCCTGTGGAAGAAAAATTTCACAAGAAAATCTTATCGTATGTGAGGGACCAAACTTAAATAAGGACAAAAGGTGTTTAAAATTTGGAAAAAAAAAAAAAAGCTTTCATTTAATAGTGTCAAAAATAGTCAAGAAAGGCTCAAAAGCAATACAAAATAACTTAAATAATAAATAACATAGATCTGGGCCCAAATTAACTGAGGTCAACTGAGGAACCAACCAACAAAAAACTGACCCGCAAACAAAGAACTAAAGGCGGGTTAAATAGGGATGGAGTAGCCCAAGTCTACCACATGAGGGAGGCACAACATAACAAAAGAACCAATAAATACAAAACTAAAGCATTCTATGAAACAAATAAAGCAAAACTAACTTTTACTTAGCAGAAACAATAATAAGTATTTGAGTGACAAAATTAACTTATTAAAACAACTTGAAACAAGTCTCCCCCGTCAGTCTTTCAAAAAACAAATGGTATGCTCCAGGTTTCCTCCTCCAGCTGGTTTGCATCAGCAGCACCTCAAACAAAACAACAAATGTAACTAAACCATTCAGACAGACATTAACTGAACTGTGCAACCATTAGAAAATATCCGTCTAAAAGAAATAACCAACTTAAACATAAATTGTAATATAATATAAAGGAAGAATAAAGTACTAATACAATGTGGTGGTGGGAGGATCATCCACCACATCCTAACATACATATCAGAAAACATGCAGATGAGAAACCATTCTCCTGTACAATTTGTGGGTAAACCTTTATTCAAAAAGGTAATCTGAATGACCACTGTCGGTGACAGGTGAAAAGCCTTTCAAACGTCTGTCCTGTGTAAAAAGTTTTTCTTATAAATCTGCCCATAATAAACACATCAAAATTCACACAAGTGAGAACCCGATATTATGTACGATTTGTGACAAAAGTTTTACTCAAAAAAGGTAATTTGATATGTCACATGACAACTCACTGCGAAATACTTTTTTTTAATAACCTGTAGTAAAAATCTGAAGCCTTTCTCTTGTACTATTTTGACAAAAGTGTAATTGTTAGAAGTAGTTTGATTAAACACATGACGATTTATGTGAGAAACATTTTTCATGCATGACACATGAAACTATCTAATAAAGATATTGATTGCTTTGCAAAAGAAGTCCCAGCAGTTAGATGCCACAGGAATGAACAAATAGAGGCGTTTTCTATGTTTGAATTGTGATAAAATGTCCAGAATCACCTTCACCTTATTTTATGAGAAGCTCCCAGTTAACCTCTTAAGTCCGACGGTCCCAGTACCTGGCCAAACTGACCACCAAGCATTTTAATCCATCTTTAGGAAGCCGAAACACAGTGATGTTTTGTTGTCCACCTACACGCCTTTCAAGAAGGGGCTTAAAGTTTGTAAAACAAGTTTCAAAATATAATTAAAAAAAAATCTTGTTTTTCAATTTAAAGTGTGGTTTATCTGCTCTTCCATAAAATCTAAAGCAATCAGACACTTCAAACCTGGTATGCATGATTCCAAGATAACAGCAGAAAAAGTCCCTTTTGGTGAAAGCTTTTTCTGCCTTAAGAAGCAACAAAGGCTGCGTTCACACTGCAGGCCTTGATGCTCAATTCCAATTTTTTAGTGAAATTAGATTTTTTTTTTTTTTTGCGTTGACGTTCATATTTCCAAATATATGCGACATGCGCAATAGAGGATGCAATGACATCACAGGCCAGCGTGCTCTTTTTTTTTTTTCCCGGAAGTAAACATGGATGGTAGTGCCGGCGCGCATCTAGCGAACTTTCTCAACCATAAAAACTCAATCTTTTCAATATGTTTAAACATAAATACCGCTCCCCGCATCATCTTCTACCATGGTTGTTGATTTTCTTGCCGCTTCTGTGCAGCAAGATGCAGAATAGTGACCTGTGTCGGGTATTAATGACGTTCAGGTCTGATGAATGCGACCTGGCCATTCACACACAGGTCACAGTTGAAAAGATCAGATTTGTATCGGATTCAGAACCACATAGCCAAGTGGCCTGGGTCGCATTAGAAAACTTTATAGAGAACGATTTTGGAAAAAAAAATGTTTATGTTAACATTGCGATTTAATGCGATTTATTCCGGTTTAATTTCTCACATCTTTTTAAAAATATACAAACAATTCTGTTTAATAATAATCAGATAAATTTTCAAGCACAGATTACAAGAATAAACGAAACAAATCTGTGGCTTTACCTTATTGACATCTTTTCAAGTGTCATGAAACATGATATATAAACATATGGACTCCACTCTTTAAAGATAGTCAGATTTTAATAGAACAGTCTATAAATAAATATATAAAATAAGATATGAAATGAATGACTGATCTCCAGTCAGTGGCATCAAACATAATAAAGTGCAGGAAAAGTATAGCGAACAAATGTCTTCTTTCAACCAGTTGACATTTTTATGGGCAAATCAAATTCTCAAACAAAAAATGAGTGTATGACCTTTTTAAATCCTAAGAAAAAACTTTTTAAACAATTTTATAAATTATATATTCACTCAGTAAGAGCAGCACACATCATCGTAAAGTACAAAAAACAAAGATATGATCTCTGTATTTTTTTAGAAGCTCAGATTTTTTTGCCAAGAAAATCCGCATGTCAACCTTTGCTGGTTTCAAAGAGCAGCGAGTGCAAGTCCCTATATTCCCTCCAGCACTGAAAAGGAGCTCTGAAGGAGCACTTGAGGGAGGGACACAAAGATACTTGCGAGCCATATTGCAGAGTTGTGGAAAGTTAATGCTGTGCACCTTCCACCAGGCAAAGGGGTCTTCCTCTCCATCAGTAATGAGGTAGCTGTTTAACTCTGCCTCAACAACATCTTTGGGTTGCATGGGAGAAACAGAAGAGGCAACAGCAGTCTGGAATCCTGGCTTGGACCACTCACTTTTACACCATCTGGAGTCGGTACAAAATGCAGCTGCCCGTCTCCATACTGGCACACGCAAACGTGTCAACATATCACCTGTTCTATAGATTAAAAATTTTTATTGTTTGTTTTTAAAGCTCTTAATGGTCTAGCTCCCCAGTATTTGACTGAGCATCTCCAAACCCGTGCCTCGGTCAGAACACTGAGATCCTCTAATCAGTTGCTACTGGTCATGCCTAAAACCAGACTTAAAACCAAAGGTGCCTTTATGGCAGCAACACAGAGACGCTGAAATAACTTGCCTTGGCATATTCAATCAGCAGGCTCCTTTAAGGTTTTTAAATCCTCTCTAAAAGCTCACTTCTTCTCCCTGCCTTTTAATCAAGTCTAAGTGGACATTTGGCCAAATTTTATTTTAAATTTTATTTTATTTTAAAATGTGTTTTAATTGAAACATTTATCCTATTATCTTATCTTATCTCCATTTTTTTCTTTTTGTAATGAGTTTATGTATTTTAGCCTTCAGTTTTTATCTTATGCTCCTTACCTGTGATTCCTGTTTCCGGTTGTTTTAAATGTGCTTTTGAGTTGAGAGTTGAGTTGAAGAAACTCCCAAGAGACTTCTTCCCCTTTTCAACAGAGGGCTGTGCATTTTTAAGCATCTGAGTGGTTTCAGTACGACATCTCTTCTCCTACCAGAAAAAAAATAATAATACAGCAATTAGTATTGAAGTTAAATTATAAATATAAATCATAGGAATCATAGATGTGATTATTACCAACCTGGTTATATGCACGCCTTGCTGGTTGCATAATCTCAGTTTTGAGTCTGGTCTTAATGGTAGGAATGTTGTCTGCATTGATGTACTGGGTTTTGAACCTTGGGTCTAGAAAGGATGAAACATCCAAAAGCTCCTGGATGCTGGGGTCATTGTACTTATCACTGAGGTAGGCCAGGGCCTTGGTTTTAATTGACCTTGTCAGGTCAGTTTCCTCTTGGTCTTCAGCCAGGACTGAGGTGGACAGAAGGGGAAGAACTGGTTTGAGGTAGGACATGCTGACATACTCATCTCCAGAGAGAGCATCAGTAAATTTCTGGAGAGGATGAAGTGCCTTGTGAATGGACTCCTACACCTCAATATCCTGCCAGGTTGGGATCAGGGAGCGTGCACATTGGTCACCTGACAACACCTTAGTGATGGCTTTGAGCTGCTTTAGCACTCTGTCAATCATCATTTCTTTGGATCCCTATATTGTTGGGCATTCAGTGATGAGGGCTTGCTCCCTTTGAGCTTCAGCCATTGCTACCTTCTTCTTCTAGCTGTGAGAGAAGTGCCTCACCAGCTTCTTGCACAACCCTATTGCTCTGGACACTGTCATCTTTAAGTGCATGTCCTGCAATATAAATATATATAATGGTGTACTTTATACAATTTCAATTGTGTAATAGAGATGCACCTATCTGATGCTTGGGTCGGATATTGGCTCCAATACTGCCTAGTTAGTTGGTTTGGATATTGGATATTCAGATATTGGATATTCAGATATCAGAGAGCCGATCCAGTGCACTTTACATCAAAGTGTTATTTCTTCCTTTTTGCTGCTAATCTACAATTCTTTTCTTAATAAGTAATGTAAGTACATTTATATCTCTTAATTTGTTACCTTTATTTTTTTTTTTATAAATGTCTATAGCAAGTCTGGCAAGTTATACAGTTCATTCATTACAATAATAAGACCGAATTGGTACTGAATATCAGTCGATATGCAGGTACTGGATCATCAATGAATGGATCGGTGCATTTCTAGTGATAAAGGTTAACAACTTTGGAACAATGAAAGACTTCCACATTCTTTTACCCAACCCCTTACATTACAAACACACACACACAAATATGCTGTGATATAAGTTACAAAATGTAATCGGTGCCTGAAACACGGCAGTCTGGTCCATTCATTTAGTTGTGCTGCCATCACCATGTTGCACCATGATGCATTGTCAGTCGTTATGCGGATGGGATTTTCTTCCTGTAAATTCCAGCCTGCAAGTCCCTCTGTCATGCCGGCAGCATGTTTTTCCCTGTGTGGTCGTCCGGGAAGTAGGAAGCTTAAAGGCTGCGAGCTTTAAGATTTAAGTCTTCGTCAATATCATGCACTGTGAGACTCTGATATTGCTCCGCTGTACAGCTTGACCACAAATCAGTAGTTGTTGCGAAAAAAAACTCCACTGTTTTAAGCTCCGCCGCAACTGTGTCTCTGCATTTTTTTTTGTATAGGTCGGGTATGGCGACTTGACTAAAATATGTGCCTGATGGCATTGAATACTGTTTATCCATTATGGTTAACAAAGCCATAAACCCAGGCTTGGTCACTATACTGACGGGCATAATGTCTTTCACTATAAACTCCGTTATTGCCAACGTTATTTCAGTGTGCCGTTTCGCATTTTTTTCGTAAGGAGTAACACTTTCAAACAGTTCAGTCAGTGACCGCTGTCGGGTGGTACTTCGCTTAATTGGCGTTGAGGCACTGGTAGTTGCCATTCTAGCCATGCAACTATCATACACAGCCTTGTGGTGGTTTTTCAAGTGTTGATAAATGTTCGTTGTGTTACCTCGTGAGGTAGCAACAATAACAAGGCATATCCGCCACAACGTCTGATATTGCGCAGCGTCTTCCTTTTTAAACCCAAAATGATTCCATACAAGTGACATACTGTTCCTCTTTGGTACCAGACCCTCAGTTGTTTTATTTTTTGTCCAGTCTGAGGCCATTGTTTAGCAGGTTAGTCACGGACGACATCGAATTTCCCTTTGTGTTACTTTGCTAGCACGTCACCCCCATCCCGTGACCAGTCTAATCGCGTCCTTTGCAGTTAGAAAATCTTGTTTTAGCCTATCCCAATATTATTGCAAATGCAATTAATCGTTCGGCCCTAGTACCCCATGTCAAGCTTTTAGCCAATCACAGCCGTAATAGCAGCTGAGATGTATCACATTCTTGATTTGTTTTTGCGGTGTTAACTGATAAATCAGATTCTTACCAAACTCGGTTGAAAAGAACACACAAAACATCCACAAAGGCAAAAATAGTGTCCCTTTGCTTTTTTTTCTTAAAGAAATAGAGGGTATTCCACCTAAAACAGGCGCAGATATATTTGTGTTGTTTCAGCCTTTCACCCCCGGTTGACATGTTGTCACGTCTCTGCATTTCAAATGGTTTAAAAGCTACATTTGGCTTTATCATTATTCTATTTGTCATCCTGTATGCTATCTAAATGCTTTAGACTAATGGTGTATCACAGCAATGCACAGTTGCTTCACCGCTTCAGATAGGAGGAGCTTAAGCTACATTAATCTATGCCATGAGAATGAAGAAAAGTTTGTCACAGGAATGTAGTGTGGATTAGTTTTTACTCTAGGTTTCAGATTTTTGAACTACCAAACATTAAATAATTTCAATTTTCAACTTGTGTTTTGTGATTGAAGTTAACATTTCTTCTGCAGAATAAAGTGATTGAAAATTGTCATCTTTGTTAACTTTTTAAGAGGTTTTACATTATCCATATTGTGTCTTAAGAAGTGCATTATGTCTTTTTTTTTTTTTACAATCCTTTTAAATCTTTCTCTACTTATTGTGTCTAAGGAGTTGGAGTCAGAGAAGGTTTACAATCTAGCTCTGTACTGAGGTTAGAGAAGACAGAATGCTAGATAAAGAGCTGGATCAGGCCAGAATGGGATGGAGCTTTGGCTTTCTGGAGTGCAACTCCCCTTTCTTTTTGACCTTCTGCGGTAAAACCTTGGCAGTTCAGCAAAATGTAAAAATACTTTACACATTTCTTTAATGGTTAAGAATCTACAGGTAATCAGAATTTCAGGCTTTGATGATAAAAGTGGAGGTCCAAAACTTGCCAGATGATGGACCATTAACAAGTATTTTATAACCTGTGATGTTGACGTTAGAGCTGCAGTGCATGCTGGGAAAAGTAGTTCCAGTCTGTTTATATGAAGTTATATCTACATAAGGATGATTAGAATGAAGTGTCCTTTCTTTTACCCACCAATAGAAAATCTTTATGTTGTTTGTCTTTCCAGACCGCCTACAGGATTATCTTGGAAACAAGGGGGATTTCTCAGACCAGCAGCTCTGCGGACAGGAGAAGAATTTCTGTTGGGGCCAAAAGGAGAAACCTCTGCAGATAAAAGAAGAGCAGCAAAAGCCAGAACATCCCTGGACAAAAGAGGAAGCAATGGAGCTCCCCATAAGTCAGCAGGAAGAGCCAGCCAGTCAGCAGCCTTTCCTGGAGCAGAAGGGAGGTGATATGGGAGAGAAACCTTTCCCATGTTTAAAATGTGGAGAAAACTTTCTAAAAAAAGAACATTTATTGGTTCACATGAGAACTCACAGAGGTCAGAAGATTTATGAATGTCTGTCATGTGGAAAAAATTTCACAAAGAAATCTAGACTTGATACACACATCAGAATTCACACTGGTGAGAAGCCTTTTTCCTGCACGATTTGTAACAAAAATTTTACTGAAAAGAGTAGCTTGAATAAACACATGAGAATTCACTCTGGTGAGAAGCCTTTTGAATGTCTGTCCTGTGGAAAAAGCTTCACCTTTAAGTCTGATCTTAATAATCACATCAGCATTCACACAGGTGAGAAGCCTTTTTCCTGTACCACTTGTAACAAGAATTTTACTCAAAAAAGTACTTTGATTTCTCACATGAGAACTCACACCGGTGAGAAGCCTTTTGAATGTCTGTTCTGTGGAAAAAGCTTCACCTTCAAGTCTGATCTTAATAATCACATCAGAATTCACACAGGTGAGAAACCTTTTTCCTGCACGATTTGTAACAAGAATTTTACTGAAAAGAGCAGTTTGACTAAACACATGAGAATTCACACAGGTGAGAAGACTTTTGAATGTATGTTCTGTGGAAAAAGCTTCACGCAGAAATCTAATCTTGATACACACATCATAATTCACACAGGTGAGAAACCTTTTTCCTGTACAATTTGTCACAATAATTTCACTGGAAAAAGTACTTTGACTAAACACATGAGAATTCATTCTGGTGAGAAGCCTTTTGAATGTCTGTCCTGTGGGAAAAGCTTCACCTTCAAGTCTGATCTCAATAATCACATTAGAATTCACACAGGTGAAAAGCCATTTTCCTGCACGATTTGTAACAAGAATTTTACTGAAAAGAGTAGTTTGACTACTCACATGAGAATTCACACAGGTGAAAAACCTTTTGAATGTCTGTCTTGTGGAAAAAGCTTCACTCAGAAATCTAATCTTGATTCGCACATAATAATTCACACAGGTGAGAAGCCTTTTTCCTGTACCATTTGTAACAAGAACTTTACTAAAAAAAGTAGTTTGACTGCTCACAGGAGAATTCACACAGGTGAAAAGCCTTTTTCCTGCACAATTTGTAACAAGAATTTTACTGAAAAGAGTAGTTTGACTAAACACATGAGAGTTCACATAGGTGAGAAGATGTCTCCTGAATGATTTTTAACAACTGTTGTAAACAAGAAGGTAATTTGAGTATACAGATGACATTTATTCATGCATTATGTTGAATAATTTATATATATTATTAAAACATTTGTTTCACACAAGTCGCAGGAATGAGGAGTAGAGGCACTTTCAATGTCTGAGTGGTGATAAAATGTCCATCTAGAAACTCCTTCACCTCATTAGATGAGAACCTCACGGGTTAATGTTTGGTGTTTTTTTTCGAGCAAAGTTTTGAGAAGGCCATTGATTAACAGCTCTGTTTACATAGAATCTACAACAGATAAGGTGTTCTATTGTAAACCTGGTAAATATTCAGGTCCTGGGTGAATATGTGGATGTGAATATTTGAAAGTTCATTATTTTTTTTGCCTGAGTAAATTAGATTTTAAATGGCCAAGAAAATAGTTTTGCCCTAAAAAAAAAAAAGATGTTTACATTCACAATTTCTTACTTTTTCTGTAATGAACAGAATAAACATAAAGTGAAACTACAGCATATTGGTTACATTTTGCATACACGAGTGTATACAAAATGAAATTTTGTTTAAAACGGCTCTAGTCAATTTAATTTTTTTTAAAGTGCAGCCTTGAAAAACAGTAATAAAAACATTAAAAAAGAAAAAAATAGTAATATAAAAAAATGACATTTCTTTTTTTAATTAAACTAGTTTGCTGTCAATACAGCAAGTAATTAAAATCCCTACAGGCCCCTACTGTGCCATTTTGGCATGGTGTGGCATAACCTTTTCTGAATGAATTTATTCAGAGAAAAACAAAAAATAAGATATATATATAATATTTATTTATTTACTTATTGGGACTTAGAGTATTTTTGCTGAATGATAAGCTCTTGGTTGGATATATTCCAGAAACAGTTTTATTCAGTGGCTGGAGTCTGTAGTTCAGGTAAATTGAAGTCCTAAAATGATGAAACATGTCTGTTTAAAAAGATAAACAGGATTGTTGATGTTATTTTTACTGATCAGGTTAAATCTGCTTTAACTTGGCAAAAAGCCTTTGTCTTAATAATGTATTAAAGAAATCTGACTCTCCTCTAGAAGTGTGAAGTTTCTGCTTTTTAAAGATTTTTTTTTTAAGTATAATTTTCTATTGAACTAACTGTAATAGTTTTGTTCTTGATTCTGTAGATGTTCTATTTACCTGCTATGACTGAAAAAAGTATTATATTCTGCTGTGGATGTTTTTAATTATTGTAATCACTTCTAAATTGATGAACGAGCAGAAATAAAAACCTCTTGGATTGTAAAAATGTGGTTCTTTTTATGGTTTCGTATAAATCACAAATCTTTTTCCATGTTTTCTCAATATTTTAAGACAGTAAGACAGTATTTTAAGCTGTAAAATAAATAGTTTAATGGCATTCACCTTCTGTCTTCTCCAGTCTTTCCTGTTGCTCCTCCATCAGCATTAATCTTTTTGCTTTTTAGAGCCTGAGTGTGTTCAAATCTGGCCATTGGATAAATTCTCCTTTGCTTGTTGGAGAACTTAGATTAGGAAATAATGTAGGAACGTATTCTGGCCCAGTTGGTTTGGCACCTGATAAAACAAGTGTTTCAGTTGCTATAACTGTGTGTGTCCAGAGCCGCTACAACCAAGCAACTAGCTCAGCTTAGCTTTGTAATCCACTGTTACTGTTTTTCATTTCAACAAGGCAGATAACAGCCCTAAGGACTGAATCTGGACACCAATGTTTAGAGATTTGATAACGTTCCATGAATGAGCGGAATAATAATACATTTTATTGAAGCGTTAAGGCCGAGTTGTCCAGTAGGACGAGTCTCAAAGCGGAGTTGCATTTTCTTTGCAATAGAGGTTTAACGTTGAATCTATTAATACAAAGTGAAAGTTTGAGGAGAAACAAGACAATCCTGTTTTCCTTTTGGTTTGTTTTATAAATGCGAGATGATCAAAATATCTGATCATCTTTTTGGGGCTTTTTTATGCTGAAGCTCTTTCAAGGTGGTGTAGAATCTGTAGAAGGTAATTCTACGTGTCATTACATCAGGTGGTTTCTGAAAGTTTCAGGTTCTTTAAAATTACTCAAAATAATAATGAAATGTACTCATATTGAAATGTTTAATTTGTATTTCTTACATACTTAAGTACTTTTAAATACACATACGTTTGTATCCTTAAGTACTTTTAAAAGTGAGTACTTCAATACTTTAACTTGAGTAGATGTTTGACCGAGCAACTTTTACCTTTTTTTATTTATTTTTGTAACTATAGTTGAGTGCTCTTTCACCATTGCACAACAGTATTGAACAATCAGCCAAGCATAGCCTAATATTGCATATATTAAGTGTTCTGAATGTTATTTCTATACATTTAATCATAGGAATTTCCCTCCATCTTAAAAACCTATTTAGCCAATAATTAACAAATATTTGGAATAAATATTCTGCTGATTACTTTTCAAATGTGTATTTATGCATACGGATAAGACGAATTGAAAGGTTATTGAGAACATGTAGCTGCGTTTTTTTTTTTGTGTGTGTGTTTTTAGATCTAATTACCTGTCCGTTCACCTGTGACAGGAGGGCATTTTCCCATCATGCACCATGCAGTACAGCCTCTGCATTTTACTCCTGATAAGCAGCAGCGGCTGCCTGAGACGGCTGATCCTTCACTCAAAGTTAGAGGAGTGTTGAACCAAAGCTTAAGGTTTCGTGTTAAAACATGAGCTAAAATAATTTTTGGTGTTTAGTCACTGAATAATCCAGTTATTGTCTCATATGAACATAAATATAAACACTGTACAGTTATAAGATGAATTTAAGTTATAAGAAGAATTTGCATTCCTGTTTCTTTTTCATACAGTAGAACTTGAACATCAACTTGTTTTCCTAAAACCTGTTTCCATGTTCCACTGAGTTTAAAGGCCTCAGTTGTCAAAAAACCTCAAATCACAGTGAGACTTTCTGGGGATTCATACCAATATCTGTCAAACTAAGAGAGGGTTTATTGTACAAATGTTTACACTCTTAGTAGATCTATTTAGGAAGCACTGAAACAGGAAGCTGACTGAGTGAAATCTAAAACCCCTCTTTTTAGGGTAGATGTTTTTTTAACAGAGCAGGAAATACAGGGAAGAGTTAGTTAGATTATTCAGGGAAATATGGTTTAGAAAATGGGACTCCAAGGAAGAATAATAAGTCCTTTATTATTTTTAGTTATGATAAATGATACATTTAAAGAAGCAGAGAATGAAATGGGTTGTTCTCTTTATGCTCTTTAGCAAAACCTTTAAGTTTAAACTGGATGGAAAAACAGAATAATTAAAATAATGTCTGATAGTATGGCAGCTTTATTAAGGATTGAATCAAATCATTGAAAAGAACATATATCATTAATGGTGTTTATCTAACCAGTTATAGATTGTATTTTCCTCAGTTTAATCATTAATCCTTCTTTCCACATCATATCATGAGCCTTTCTCTATCTAGAAAGAACACCTAAACACTTTCTTTATTAACTTTAGCTTTCATTACCTCATGCTGTAAACATATTGCAGGGTCCATGGTGTTCCTCCCTGTCCTAAAACCACTTTGATGCTTAGATAAATATCCATTGGATTCAATAAAAAGTCTTTCATGAACCATTTTCTCCATGCTTTTACTCCAGCATGATGTTGGACCAACCGGCCTATAATGTTCTGATCTTGAAAAATTCTTGCCAGATTCTGGTGTTGGAACCACTGGAGCCTCTTTCCAACTCTTGGCTAGTTTTCCACATTCCCATAATCTGTTAAATAATCTAATAAAATGATCTTTGATGCTCACTAAGTTTACTTATCATTATATAACATATTTGATCGTTACCTGGAGTTGACGTCGTAATTCTCCTCATGTACGGTGACCCTGAAGGACTAACCCCTACAACATTAACAAAGCACTATTACAAATCACAAAAGCACTGCAACATTAAGGAAAACACCACAACATTAAAAAATAGGAAGAGGTATGTCCCAGTGGGAGACCTGAGTGATCTCTGTTTGGACAGCTCATTTTACTTTTGAACCCAGGGGCGGAGTTAGGAAATTTTGAGCCCTAGGCAAAGACAAGCAGGGGGCCCTCTGAACTGAGAAGACAACACATAAAACAAATCCGTTATACAGATACAAACATTTTAATACACATACATTATTTGTTCTATGTTTTGTCCCTCTCTTCTTGTCCCTTTTCTTGTTTTCCTCTCCATGTTTTGTACTCAGCTGACTTTTCATACTGTCTCAAAAGGAATCAAAGATTTTTCCAAGCACTAAGCTCCCTTACCTTATTGCTCCTTCCTGTGTTTCCAAAGAGGCGACGGCAAAAGTAAATAACACAGTCCATCTATTCACTGTAGAAAAGCCATGATCTGCTTATCTGTTCTCCATTTTCATTTGAAAAAAAATAATAGCTGGAAGTAAATCTGTGCCTGTTTCCATTTTTTGAGAAGATCCTGTCCTTCACCTGGAGTGGTCCTCTCCATACTATCCAGCAGCGTGGTCAATCAGACAGCTTTTTGGTTGCTTACTAGCTGAGTGGATGATGCTGGACAAGCAAATACAAACTCAGACAAGTGTCACAAAGTGCTGCACAATATGAGGCTTAGAACACAAAGCAGCACCATATAAAAAACATATAGGCAAAATAAATAAAATTATAGCATGAGGCAGTAGATACAATACAGCACCATATTCCTCTGGTTGCACGTGTCAATATCCTTGCTGCAGAATTTTGCAGTAGTGGTGGTCTGAACTTGATGACAAATGCATGGATGAGCATCTCAAGGTCATTTTCAGAAACTAAGTTGCTGAGTTTTGCAATAAAAAGTAGTTGAAAGAAACTATGTTTTATCATTTGCTTTATGTTCTGCTCCAGAGCCTCATCAAATAAAACTCCAAGGTCTCTCTCAAAGTGTGTTTTGTCACCTGGTTTACGTCACCTAAGTGCTTCTTTATGCCGGGAATGCTTTTGTCTGGGGCAATAATGAGTGTCTCAGGTTTTTATGAGTTCAGTTGTAGGATATTGTCACTCAACCACTATTATTATTATTTAGGACAAATATGTAATCAGAAAGTTTAATTTGTGGGTCACAGATGTAGTGAAGGAGCAGTAGAGCTGAATGTTGTCTGCAAGCATGTGATATGAGACTTTCTCAAACTGCTGGATAATCCTTTTTGTTTTCAGCTTTTAACCACATTACGCTGTCACAAGTACAGAGCAATGAAATTAACTCTCTGAATTTAACCCATCCTTTGGGGAGCAGTGGGCTGCCATTGTGCGGCGCCCGGGAGTAGTGTGGGGTTAAGAGACTTTGCTCATGAACCCAGAGTGGCAGTCTGTGGGCTTGAACTCTACCTGAAGGGAACACATAGATCAGGAACAAAATAGATCCTAGAACAGAACTCCATATAGTCCACATACGAGTTTTGCAGGGTCAGACATGATATGATTTACATGCACAGAAAACCTGTCAGTCAGGTATGATGAGAACCACTCCGCACAGGTCCAGTGATCCTAACCAAAACATTCAGCCTGTTTATCAAGATGTGGAGGTCAACTGTGTCAAAGGCTGAAGAACGAGGGCAGTAAATGTTCCACTAATTATTTCAAACTAACTTCATTCCAACATATTAATGTGAACATAACTCGTTCTCACATGTCTTTGTTCACATGTGAAGCAGTAAGTGATGGAGGCTAAATAATGGAAATAATCAAAGGATTGTTTTATTGTGATGATATGAAATGATCTTATTAGATGATATTGGAGCTAAAATCAGTTGTTCTTCCATCCAGTTGAATCTTTCTGGATCAACTTGTGTCACATTAATGAACCAGAGTTGGTGTTTCTGCAGAGCTTAAGATGATGCACATGTAGGCAAGGCATGATGCTGATGCTATTAGATGGAAACTAAAAATCCAAAGTAAATCTAGTGAAAAACATGAAAAGAGGAGTGAACTTGTGTTGGTGGTTAGGACTTCCTGTGATTAAAACATCTGCACACCCCTGTGTGGCAGTTTTGGCAGAAAAAGGAAGAGACTGGCTCCAAGCCAAGCAGGTTTTAGCTCATGGTCTAATCACCAGATACACAAAAAGTTACCTATCATTATTATTATTATTATTGTATTGTTTATAAAAGGTAAAAGTTGAGTTAGAAGATATTGTAGTATGGCTTTTGGCCTGGTAATATTCAGTTTGTGTTGTGCTTATTGGTGAGCCACGGTGAAAATATTTGATT